CTTATTTAGTAACTGCTGGAGCTTTCCCCATTTAACAGGTGGGGGGAAATGGAAGCAGAAAACTTGAATCAATTGCCCAAAGCAGTTTGGCTACTTAGGATTCAACCCTGGAGCCTGTACCTAAGCTCTTACCTCTAGTTGAGAATCAAGGTGAGAGGGGAGGGACCTGAATGAGTGGCCCAGCTAAGGGAGAGCAAGTGGGATCAACGCTACCTGTCCCCCCAAATCTAGCCTCACACCTCCTCTCCATCCTTACTTGGATTCAGGGTCATCTTTGACAGGTCTCTTGGGCAAATATTTTTTCACCAAGCTCCTAAGGGGAGAGAGAGGCAGGAAAGTTGAGCCCCCAGCCCCCCAAACGCGCCCTGTAACACCAAGGGAAGTTCGCCCTCGGGTCTCACCGCAGCTGCTTCGCATAAGCCTGCTCCACCTCGGTCCGCTCTTTCACAAACTTCACATATCTGTCCAACAGGTCCAGCCCCCACTGCGTGTGCCGCTCTATCACCTCAAATTGATCCTGACAGAGGGTGGGGGTGGGGAGGACCAGGTCAGGACCCCGCCTCTAGACACCAGGGAGCTTCAAGGCTGGAGCTAGGAGAAGGAGTGGCTTCCCAGACCCGCCCCTGCGCGGCTGGGGCGGGGAGGCAGGAAACCGGCGGGAACCCCCTCCCCTTCCCGGGAAGGGCCAGGGAACAGGGGCGGGGCCCTAGCCGGACGGCAGGGTCCCCGTCTCCGTACGTCCCCCGACTGCCAAGAGGGGTGTGGAACGGGCAGGGCCACTCCCCTAATCCCCCCAGATTCCGGAAAATCCGGCCGGCCCGGCGTGAGTCAGGGCTAAAGGAACAGGGTTCCCTGCCGCTTCAGGGGGGGCTCAGAATGACCAGGGGGGCAGACACCAAGTTTCCCGGGTCGACATGCTCTCTGGTACCCCGCTGTACTTAATTTACCCCACTGACTCCACTGCACCTCCAAAAGAAATCCTACAGTTGAGGAGGGGGGGGCGATCTAGTCACCTCGCTGCACCCAGGAACCCAGAGATGCCACCGCCCCCAGAAAGAGGAGGGGTCGGAGGTCCGGGCTAGGATAGGGGGAAATTCCTGGGGCTTCCAGAGCTGAGTTTAGAGGGTGTCTGGGGGCGGCCCCTCCTGGTGCCTGGAAAGGGCTGGGGGAGGAGAGCCAGCCTCACAACTCCTTCCCCCATTAGAGCGTCCCAAGCCCCTAGGTGTTGACTGGAGGCGACGCAAAGGGCGGTCAGAACTTCTAAGTCCCACGTGGGGTAGAAAGTGGCCAGACGGTCCCCTCCCCCTCACCAGCCGGACAGGCGGGCGGCGGGCAAGAACCCAGGGGCCGTAAGATAAGCCGGCCAGCCCAGCCTGGACGCTCAAAATAGGTGACCTCACTCGGCCGCCCCGGCCTGGTCCTAGGACTCCTTTCTCCTCACTCTGACCCTGTGACTCAGTTTCCCTAGGCCGCACCTGCAAGGTCGCCCTTCGCCCCCGGGCGTCCTGAGACGCCCCGGGAAACTCCGAGAGAGGGCGGAGCGGGGATTCCAGGGATCGGTAGAAGGAAAAGCGTGGAGCTTCGTCTAAGATACTGCGGGGGCAAAGGCGGGAGTCTGGACCCCAGTAACAGAGGAACTTGGAAACAATCCGATTGGACTCACCCACAGCTCGGTCCCCCAATCCATGCTGCTCCGGCCGAGGCCGCAACCAAGACCGCCGAGCCGGGTCTCCGCAAGCCAGCTACCCGCCACCCGCCGCGGGGAGACTCAGCCTAAGGCGGTACGCCCGGTCCCGCCCCACCACGCCCAGGACCCGCCCACTCTCGGCTCTGCCACGCCTCTTCAGGCTCTGCCACGCCCCGGCCCTCGCGGAGCTCTTCACTGAGACCTAAAGGCGTGGCCCCCAGGAAGGCGGTCCCAAATAACGCCCCGCCCCCTCTCGAAGCTACGTAGTCTCAGAACTGTGTTAGACAGACGCCTTAAAGGATCCCCATCCATTTTGCAAAATCCCCAGGCGCTTCTTATCCTCCCTAACCCTGCCCCGCCCGAACTGTTCTAACTTTCCTCTTTCCCTTCAGTCATTTCGTAAAGGGTCAAGACACTAAACCCCATCTAAGAGGTCCTTCCTCCACCCCTTCGCAGGGAGAATCTGAGGTCACCCAGCTCTTGCGGGCCGGCCCGGCTCCAGACGTCTATGCTCATCGTACTAATGATCTAGTCCCTCCGGCCGCAGGGCGGATAGGAGGACTTCGATCCTGCCCAGGACATGCCTCCGCCAAGGCCGGGTCCATTAGCACCCCCACCGCATCCTGCCTTCCCTTCCCTAAAGTCTGCACCGACCTGAGGACGGGCCGTCCTTGGGGCACCGGGCCCAGGCCTTCCCTCAGCTCACGCTCAGTTCACGCTTGCACCTGCCCATTTTTCAGTCGCATCCATCAAGGCCCAATTAGGTTTAATTGTCTGTACTGACTGGAATTCCGACTCCTCCCCTCCGCCCAGACACTCGGGCCTGGGGCTGGGAAGTGTTTTGGCACCCTCATAAAAAGTTCGTTCACACTTTGTTAATCCCTTTGAGGCACAGGGATGAAAGGGGAGAGATCCCAAACAGCTCCCACCCTTATTCTCTTCCGCCTGCAGTACTTTCTCTGTGGCTACAGAGGTGACAGATGCTCTGTTGCAGCTGGGAGTTCTGGCTCCAAGGACAAGTTAGGTTCTGAGCTTCCGGATTCCCAGTACACATCACATACCAGGGAGCCCTGGACAATAGCTCCCGGAGTCCACACAGTGAGAGATGGCTCTGTGGGAACCTGGCCCCACCTGCTGGTGGCTTTTGAACTAGAAAACCCCAAGTTCCCAAGTGGGTTGCGCTGGAGTTTGGCGAGGCTGGAGTCTGGTCTGGGTAGCTCAACCTGGGATTAGGATACCGACTCAGGTCTCGGACTCAGATTAGAATTGGGATTTATGCCAGCCAGATTGGGACTGAAGTGGGGATAGAATCAGATAGATCAGAGGCTTAACAGAGGGGTCAGCAGCCCACTAAGGGGTGTAACACTCAAACTAGGGTCCAGCGGTCAGGGCTCAAATGGGGTTCACGCTCAGCCCAGGTGGGTGGTCCAACCACAGCAAAGGCTCAGTGTAGGTCGAGGGTCAGAGGGGCATGGGGAATTTGGGTTCAGGCTGAAGTCGGGCTCAGCTGCTGGAAGGGGACTCAGCCTAGGGTCTGGGTTCAGCCCATAACGAAGACCACCAGCCTGGGATCTCGGGGTGGGCCTCTAGTTGGCTCACCCTGGGATGAGACTTCTCCTAAAGCCGGGATTTAGGCCGGGGTCATAGGTCATCCTAGGGTAAAGAGTTAGCCTCGGGCTAGGTTTAGGTCTCTAGGGTTGGTCAAAAAGATTAGAACAAGACAAGCCTCACAGAAGATGCGCGTGTTTACCAAAACCGTGAACTCCGGCCGCGAGCCACATCCCGAGGGAAGGAAAGTGGAAGCTGGTTCTTGGGAATCTTGGGAAAGGTAGTTTGCTTAATGCTTTGTTGAGCTGTTTGCTCCCTCTGCATTCTGGGTACTGTAGTCCTGCGCCGATCTGTCGCTTAAGAGTGGGCGGTCAGATATCAGGTCTATTACAATTGGTTGATGAATTGTTTATCAAATTACATCCTGTACAGTTCTAGAGATCGTTGACAGTGAAGGCGGGGCTAAGTAAGACCAACACTCCCGTTCCGAGCCAGTGCTGTCCGTTTGGTGTCGTAGAGGGCGGGCTTGAGAGGAGGCAATCGTTAATTTGTTGGGTGAGCTGGAAAAGCCCCAAGGTCGGCCCCCACTGTGAGGTGATTGGCTCATCGGTAGGCGGGCCTGAGAGCGTCAAAGGCGGTTTCAGGGGAGGAGGGCTCTTGATGGCTCCGGAGGTAGGGGTACGCCGGCCGGATCCCGGTGGAGTGGGGGCAGAGGCTATTTCTGCTGCTGCGGTGGGCGCATCCGCCGGCTGACGCTATAACATGTCCCAACGTGCGGCGGTCTGGAGCTTGGGGCGCAGCTTTGTCCCAGAGAAGCCTCTAGCTTGGTGTCGTCTAGTTCTATTTCCCCCGTTCCTAACGCAGGATGGAGCGGTCCAGCGCTCGGGTTGCTGGGACCGGAATGTAGTCGTCCCGGGAGCATCCTCAGTTCTCCGGCTGGAGTTACCTGGTCGACCACGCTAGGATTGCGCCCCACCCCCGATGGGCACGTCTGCATCTTCCCGGGACCCGCCCTCCCCCTCAGACTTAGCCCTCCAAGGGGCGCTAAGTACCCTTGGCGCCATCCAGGAGAGTCCTCGGGTGTTCTAGAACGGGGTCCTCTGGGCACTCGTTGGAATCTTGGGGACTCAGGGATCTAAAAGTTGCTCGGGGGTTAAGGGCCAGGCACCACAATAATAAATAACTGCTTTCAGGTTGGTACTTACCTGCCGTGGGCACTTCCAGGTGCCCCAGGCTTTGTTCCTGGACTGTCAGAACAGTGACCGGAGGACCCCGAGCCACTATTCCCCTGCCTGAGGTTGGTCTGGGGAAACAGCCTCCTGTTCTATCATTCCTACGGAACTGATTGAGCTGTCCTAGAAAAAGGGGTGCCCGGGCTCTTGGGTGATCTTTGTGCCAGAGTCCTAGGTCTGGGCTGGTGGGAAGAAGTTGAATTGCCTCTGGTTCCTTGGTGTCTGGCAGGGCGAGAAGCTACCAGACATCCACCTGAACAGCTTCTTCTTCCTTTTTTTAAAAAAAAAATTTATTTACTTACTTATTTTTAGAGAGGAGGGAAAGGAAGGAAAGACGGAGAGAAACGTCAATGCGTGGTTGCCTCCCGAGCGCCCCCTACTGGGGACCTGGCCTTGCAACCCAGGCCTGTGCCCTGATTGCGAATCAAACCCGCGACCCTTTGGCTTGGAGCAGGGCGCTCAATCCACTGAGCTACACCAGCCAGGGAAAAACAGCTTTCTCTTTCTACACACCAAGGGCTTTCTGCAGGTGAATGAAACTAAGCCTCCTGCGGCTGGACCTTGAGGGGACAAAAGAGGAGACTCCTGTGGTGAGGGACTTTAGGGGGTTTACTAGAGGAGGGTGAAGTGCACAAGTGTCCAAGCCCACCTCCCCCTAGTTCTGGGTTCACATCCTACCTCTGCCTGGCATCCATATGATCTTGGGCAAGTCCTTTGATCTCTCAGACCTTCCTCAGAATTTCCTGATCCAGAACATGGGAATAATAATATCGCACGCAATACGTGTTAGACACTGAGCTGGGGTCGGGGAGAATGCATAGCAATGAACACCACAGCCCCAGTTTCTGCAGTCAAAATGAGTAGCTAGAATTGATCATATGCCCAGTTGGTACCATGTACCATGCAAAGCAATTTCTATGGGTTTCCTTCCCTGTAGCCACCTCTCAGCGTTGCTGTAAAAATTTTAATCCTGTAAGGCAATTTTACAAGTGTTTACACAGGCTTAGAGGCATGTCACTGGCTCAGAGTCAGAGCCTGCATGCCAATCCAGGTGTGCTGGATTCCACAGTCCAAGGCAGGAAACCATGAATATTTTATTTGATTTTTAAAAACTATTTCTTTTGACATCAACGTTTTATTTGGGGAAAACAGGGATGGGCCAGGTCCAGAGGACCAGGGAAGGTCTCCCTGAGGAAGGGACATGCAAGCTGAGTGGCACAGGTTGGTTTGGAGTTACAGCAAGAGGGTTGGGAGGTGTGGGCAGGATGGGTTATAGGAAAATTGAGTGAGTGGATGTTCAATGAATTCAAGGTTATGTTAAAAGAGGTGGCTTTAGAGGGTCCCTGCTGGAGTCCCTCACATTCTCCCCTTTACTTTCTGCCGCCAGGTGGGGTTCAGTCTGACCCGTATTCAATCTGGCAGAGTTTGATCCTCCTCAGTGAGTAGACGGGGTGGTGGAGAGGCCAGGATGGTGGAGGATGGATCTGTCTTCTACATCTGGAACCCAAAGTCCCTGTTCTTTCCCAGGGGTGGGAGGAGAGGGCAAGCAGAGATTCTCCCTTGCAGGGTGGGTAGGGAGGAGACAGGGTGGGACTGGATCAGTGGGAAGTAGTAACCAAGGCTCCCTCTTACCCACTCCCCAGCGACTGCCCTCCCCTGTCACATCTCCACCCTCTCCTGTTTCTCTTCCTTATCAACACCAAGGACCTGCAATGAGTTGAGGGGCCAGGGGCTCCCCTAAAGACCCATCATCTGTATTTTCCTAGGTATAATACCCACATGAGTTGATCAGGTGTAATGAGAAGCCAGGTGAAAAGAACTTTGCTACCCTTAGAAAGAAAGCCACATGCTGTTTAATTCCCCTTCACACCTTCTGATTATGGCAAAGAGGAAGAGGGGGTGGGATGCCCATTGAGTGGTGGGGTCTCAGGGTGAAAGGTCCAGACACAGTGGTACTGTGAGAGTTCAATCATTCATGCTTGTTGAATGCTCCCAGTGCACCAGGCAGCTCCTCCTGCAAGCTTTACAGGTGTTATCCACTCCTTACTCTGTAATTGTGCCCATTCTAAAGATGTGAAAACTGAGGCCTGGGAACTGGGGTTCGCACCCAGGCATCCTGGCACAAAGGTCCAAAGGGACCTCTGTATATATAGAGATGTTGCCTCTCTACACATGCAGCATTTTTTTAAATAAGGTAAAGTGCGTCATTGTCACAGGAAGTGCCAATATAATTTCTGGTGCAGGCAGTGCATGGATGGGGCAGCCATCTTGGTAGGTGGTAGCCAAATGCTGGAACTTTGTGACCACTGATTCAGCCCAATGCTGGCCCCCAGGGAGGAGACCTAGAGGGCCCTAGGAGCCATTGAGTCCCTTTGCACAGGTGACATGCTTGACCAGAGCCTTAAGCCTCATGGCTCCTCTGTTCCCTGTCCCCCATCCTCACTCCAGGGTGCAGGTGCAAAAGTATGGGAGCAGAAGAAGCTCTTCATCTCTCCTGGGATCCTCCCCAATTTGCTCTCTGAATCAGGGCTCCTGAAGCCAGACCACCAGGCCATCCCCAAAATGACAGTGGTGAAGCAGGCTACCGGATGGGCAGGGAGGGGACAGGGGTGGACAGGGCTGCTTTGTGCATTCCCCCCACTTTCTGCTGTTTCTCCGTCCACCATCTCTAAACTCGTCCACTCGCCCCCTGCAGGGACCACTGCTGTGCTCAGCAAGACCAAGGCAAAACCTGCAGTGTCACAGGAGACCAGCAGGTTCTTCTACCGGGGGCACGAGCAGCACCAGGTGTTAGTCCCATGGAGTCAGACCGGACCTCGGTTCAGCCACCCCGGTACTTGAGTTCTGGCTAAGACAGAATTCAGAACCAAGACACAAACTATAAGAGAGTTTATGGAGAAAGTCACAGATGTAGAAGAGACCTGCAAAAGAAATGGGCTCAGGAAACAAGTGACAGCAAAAGAAGGGCTGTTGGAGCTTATGGGGAAGAGAGCAAAGTACACACGGAAAGATGCGAGCCACTCACCTTAGGGATCGAGAGCGTGCGCTGGGCTCTTCCTCTTGAGGGCTTTAAAGGCAGGGGTTCTAAGAGAGGATCTTAGAATATTCATCAGCTTTCCAGGTGTGTACTTTCAGGGTTGTGGTCCCTACTGCTTGTTTGGCGCCAGGGCAGGGGGTCATTAGTCAATGCAGCTGGTCCAGAGGCAGCCAGGGTGTCACTTGATTGGTATTTCTGCTCTTCTGGTCCTGGAGCTGAAACATGACTGAGGCCTAGATGTTATCCCAAGGGGTTAATGCTTACGGGTGTGGTGCTGCAAGGCCTGGACGGAGTCGTGTGAGGCCCCTCTCTGACCCCTTGTTCCTCTTCCAAGGGGGTCTACCACAGGACTAGTGACAAGTGGGGGGGCAGGTCCCAACTGCATGACAGTGGTATGAAAGGTCAAGGTGTCTAAATCACATGACCAGCAGTATGCTCAGAGAGGAAAGGTTACCCTGTGGGTAAGGTCTTGTTTTCCCAGTTTTGCCCCTTGCTGGGCACCCGAGGCTTTCTGCCCTGGAGAGCTTGTGTACCTGGCCCCTTGTCCTTGCAGTGCTCATGTCCGTCTAACTCCCTCCCACAGTTTGGGGAAGCCAGGGCAGGAAAGAGTCAGGCCTTGGGGCTTGGAAGTGGTGATGGGGACCTGGGCCAGCTGATGTTCAGTGGAGGGCTCTCTCTCCCCTTGGGGCCTCAGTGCAAAGGACAAGAAGCTGGGGGCTCTGGGCCATTGCAACAATTCCCACAACTACAACATGAATGTTCTGTGAGCGCCCACAGCTCCCTTGTCGTCCCAAGCTCTTTCCTCCATCTGCCCCACTACCCAGTTCCACATGGCGATTGGCTTGAGGGCCAAGGAGGACCAATATAGCCTCAGTTTCCACACCTGCTGTAGCCTGATGCTGGGGTAGGAGCGGCCATTGGACATCACAGATAGTAGATGGGATGGGAGCAGGTTCACAGCCCTAACTACAGTTTAGGTGTGCCACGCTGAGTTTAGTTTTGTCAGGTCCTCCTGGCAGCTGTGGTATGGAATGAAAACTGATGTACCCATTTGGGACGTAGGAAGACTGAGGCTCAGAGAGGGGGAGTCGGCCAGCTAGAGAGGGAGAGCTGGAGACTCCCACACATGGTTCCGTAAGTCCTGAGCTAGCATGCAACTCCTCCCACCCCCCAACTACCCCCTTCCTAGGTAATGGTCCAGGAGAAAAACCCCGAGGGCTTCCTGTGGATGGTGGAAATGCCCCTTTCAAGCTGTCTGTGGTCATGTCTGCCTGCTTCCTGGCTGCTGGCTTCTTCTGGGTATCTGTCTTCTGCAAGAACATGTAATGCCCTTTCCCCAGGGGGTCTCACTTCCCTTCACCACTCCTTCCCATCCCTTCCCCTGACGGATGCCTCCTTACCCCTTTCTGTCCCTGACCCCCCCCCCCCCCCGCCAGGCCAGGTGCAACGTCTTCAAGATCCACTGGCTCAAGGCAGCCCTGGCTTTCACCAAGTGCCTCGCTCCTTTTCCACAGTGTCAGAGTCTGGGCCTGGGTCCAGGGACTGCCTGGGCTTCCTGGGTCCGACAAGCAGCCTGAACAGGCCACTCCTCAAATCTCCACAGACCCTGGGCGTGGCAGTTCCACGTGTCCATCCATTTTATCATTTTCGATAGCTGTCTATCCCCTTCATCCATCTACCTGTCCTGACTGTCTGCATGACTGATTGTCTCTTTGTTCATCCATCTAACTAGGACCTTTCCTCCATTGCTGTAGCTGTGACTGGCCATCACTGTCCATCCCTCAGTCCAGCCATTACTGGGCCGTGACTGTCCATATCTGAGCCCACTCACCATCCTGATTGTCACCATCAGTTCAGTCAGCTTTCTAGCCGCCCATCTGAAAATGATTGTTCGTGTTCCTAAACCACCACCATCCACCTGTTATAACCCCTGTCCGGCTGTCCATCTGTCTACCTCCAGATCAACTACTGTTTTATCAACAGCTGAGGCCACCCCATCAACGGCCTCACTGTCGTGCACTACATCACACACAACAGTGACCTCTGCTGGGCAGGTGGCAGGCAGTGGAGGAAAGGGCTGGGTGCCCCATCTCACCACACCCCTCCCGACCTCCAGGCTGAAGGCTGTCCTCTTCACCACCATTGCCTTGATCAGTTCCAGCTGGTCCCTTGTCAAGAATGTTCTGTCCGACAAGAAGGTCTTTGGGATCATGATCCTGATACAGGTCCTTATGGGGCCCCGTGTGGGCAGCAGGCAGGCACACCTGCACACGCGGGCGGGCCTGCCCACCCCATCCCTGCCCTACAGGTTCTGGCCAACATGGCCTGCGCCATCGTCCAGTCCGGTGAGGAGGGCGTCAGTGACTATGGGCTTCTCTTTCTGGTGGATCATATCTACTGTGATGCCATCCTCTTTCCTGTGGTTTGGTGAGGACTCTGCCCCCACCCTCCTCCAGGCCCAGACCCCGCCCCCCACGGACATGGGTGGAGGCAGCACCGGCTGTTCCCTGGGTCCCCCACTCCTTCCCAGGCCCATCGGCATCTTCAGGGTGTATTTGGCACCCACCGGAAGGGTGAAGCCCTGCTCTCTGGGGCCTGCTGTGCTCCAGGCCCTTCGTGCCACCCCCGGATGGCCCTTCCCTGTCCTCTGACTGCCCTCCTGGCTTCTCTACCCCCCCACTGTCTCCTGCATATCCCCCCCCAGACGTTCTGCCCCATGTCCTCCCTGTGCCCAGCGGGCCTCCACCCTCCTCCCACTGGTCCTGCCTCCAGCCCCCGTCCCCTCACTCCAGCTCTCTGTGCACATTCCTCAGTGGCAGGAACCTGGCCAGACTGAAGCTGTTCAGTGTTACTGTGCCATGGTAGGAACAGCGTTTCCCCCGTGAAGGAAGTGTTGAGGGGGAGGACAGCCACCCATTGGCACACCCTCCCTAACTGCCCCCCCCAATTTTATCTGAGCCCCTCCACTCAGCTCTCTGCCTACTCTCTGTGGACCCCACCCAGGCATCCCCAGTGGGTCCTCTGATCTCTCACCAGGCCCTATGCCCACACCTGTCCCTTGCAGGTCACCTGTTACATCTATTTCACACGGAGCGTTGCCATCCTGCCTGTGGGTGGCCGTGCCTTTCTGGTGGCAGTGGCTGTCCCAGGTGAGCGCAGACACCTCAGGTAGGGTGGAAAGGGCGGCCAGACAATGGAGATGGGGGAGACAGGTGTGTTTCTAACGCCTCGCTCATCCCCCAGACCTTGCTCACCATAGGTTACAAGTTCCAACAGGCCGGACACACACACCCCTCAAAGTAAGTGTGAGCCCCAGGCCAGAGTGGACAGGGCTCTGATAGGTAAGACCAGAGGCTGTGGCATCCGATTGGGTGGAGGTGGGGGGGCGGGGCCTGGCAACTCTTAGGCCAGCTGGCAGTTCTGGGAGCGGAGTGCGGGAATAGCTTCGGGGGGGCAGTGCCAGAAGGTTCAGAGGATGGATTTGGGAGGCCCCTGGGGGCAGTGCCTGGCACCCCTGAGCTCCAGGATCACCTTGCTGTCTGCCTCTAGGGTGATCCATTCTGGGTTCCAGGAAGGCCCGTCCCAAGTCAACTAAACAGCCAGTGGGTAGGAGCTGTTGTGATCATCCCCCCCACCCTGCCCGCTCCCATCTCAGACCACGCCTTTTCACCTTCCTGCTTTCTCCTCTGCTCACATGTGCCTCACCCTGGCTTTTCCCCCAAAGCGTGGGGGTTGAGAAGGAGGAGGGCCTGTGTGCATACGGCACCAACTCCCTCAGGAGGTGATCCCAGAGCCCACTCAGGAGAAGACGGACACCCCCCTCTTCCCCGAAGTATAGAGGAGCCCTGTCCCCACACAGGACCATCCCCTGCTTCCAGCTATGCAGTAACAACCAGTCTGGCCCTGGCCAGGTGACTCGGTTGGTTGGAGCATTGTCCCGTACAACGGAGGGTTGAGGGTTCCACCCCCCATCAGGGCACATACCTCAGTTTGGGGTTCATCCCCAGTCAGGGCATGAAGCAGAAGCAACCTATAGATATTTTTTTCTTGAAATCGATAAACATATCTCAGGTAAGGATTTAAAAAAACATTAAAAAATGATCAATCTGTTTTGCTGTCCTGGTTTCTTGCCTTTCTGGGGGCTGAGGTCTGACCTGGGCTGTGTTTACAATTTAGAAACCTGTACTATTCACTGGAGGGGCAGTTGCAGTACCCATCACTTTGCACACCCAATAACTATGAATTGAGCAAGTACTGTGAGCGAGCCCTATGCTGAGCGCTGAGGACAGAGTGGTGACCGAGACCCACCCAGTCCCAACATTCAAGAAGCTCACAGTCCCTGAGGGTAGGGAGGTTGGCGGAGGGACAGGGAGAGGGACACATCATCAGACAGTTTCATCACAGGGCTCCGGCTCAGCCTGGGAAGTCAGGGAAGTGCATAGAGAAGTGCTGGGGAGGGTGCTGGTCCAAATGAGGGAACAGCACGTGCAGCAAAGGCTGGAGGTGAGGGAGAATGGTGCTTGAAAGACCCACAAGTGGCTCAGGTGAGGAGTATAAGTAGTAGTAGCTATCCGTGGACCTTAACTCATGACAGAGCTTGTGAGGCACAGAGAGGCTAAGTAACTTGCCCAAGGTCACACAGCTAAGGAGTTAGTGGGAGATTCAGGACTCAAAACGTCAGTGACCACACCTGGATCCTCCCTTATTTGCTGTGTGGCCCTGGATTAGTGGTTTAATCTCTATTTTCTCACATGTATGTATAATAGGGGTCACTGAGTATCACATGTGGATGTATTTCTGGCTCAGTGCTGTGCCCAGCAATGCAGCCTGACCTTTCATGGACTGCCCAAACCTTGGGGAGAGACCTCAGGTTAGAGACAGACCTGTGCAACACACCTGTAGACAGACTCCTGAAATGCATTTTGTCCTCCCCACCCCAGCCTCATCCTTAAAAAAAAAAAAAAAAGATTTTATGTATTTATTTTAGAGAGAAGGGAAAGCAGGGAGAAAGAGAGTGAGAAACACTGACAGGCTGCCTCCCACGCTCCCAGCCCCCAGCTGGGGAACCTGGCCCACAACCCAGGCGTGCACCCTGACCGGGAATCTAACTGGAAACCTTTCGGTTGGCAGGACAACACCCAACCCAGTGAGCCACACCAGCCAAGACCCAGCCTCTCCCTTTAATTAGCGCACCCAGGACTCCTTCTGAAGCTTTGAAGAAACATTCCTCAGTGGGAGCCCCTGGCATAGGACAGGGGTCAAGGAACCAGGCTGGGGTCAAGGCCTCCTGCAGGCAGAAACAAGTGTAACTGGGGCTCAGATGAATAAATAACCCAGCCAGACAAGGAAGTGGGAAGACATTGCAGGTTGAGGAAGTTATTTGAGGAAGGAAGAGGAGTCCAGAATAGCTTTCAAGTCCCTCTGCAGGGTTGGCTGGGGCAAGTGGGAGGGCAAGAGCAGCTGGCAGAAACCTCAAAACAGGCAGACACACTTGGACTTTGTGCCAGGAACTGTTTGCACCAAGGAGGGGTTCGAAGCAAGGAGGGACATGGTCGTACAGGATCGACGTTTCGTCCGCATGAATGCTGGGGTAGGCAGAGTTACAGCTCCCTAAAAACGTCTTCATCCTAATCCCCAGAGTCTGCGAATGTGTTGCATGACATGACAAAAGACGCTTTGCAGGCACGATAGTAAAGGATCTTTGAATGGGGGCTTATTCTGGATTATTCAGGTGGGCCCAGTGTCATCACCGGTCCTTGGATGAGGGAGGCGGAAGGATGAGTCAGAGAATGGGCTGTGAGGATGAAGACAGGCTGGAGTGATGTGCTCTGAGGACGGAAGAAGGAGCCAGGAGCCAGGGAATGTAGGCAGCTTCCAGAAGCTGGACCAGACGAGGAACAGATTGCCCCCTAGAGTCTGCAGACGGAACTAGCACTGCCTATGCCTTCATTTTAGACTCCCGCCTTCTGAACTATAAGATAATGAATGAATAGATGTTGTTTTAAGCCCTGCGCTTAGAGTCATTTATTACAGCAGCAGTCTGAAACTCACACAGTCTAGGAGCACAAACTCTGGAGTCCAGCTGTCTGGGTTCAAATCCCAGGTCTGACCAACTGGAGGATCTTGGGCACATGGCCAAAGCCCTCTGTTTCTTCATTTGTAAAGTAGGGATAGAAGGAGCACCTAAGGCCTGTGAAATAAACCAGATGAAATAGACAAGATGCTGCCATCTAAACCTTATGGAGACATTTGCTGCAGCAGCATGTATTCACACATTATACATCATAACTTTGTGAAGGGACACAAAGGTCTGTTTTAGGAAAAAATCCTTAGTTAGCATGGTAGAGATTAACTGGAAGGGGCAGGTCTACAGCAGAGAAGCCAGGGAGCGCAGGGGTGGAGAGAAGGGATGGGCTCCGAGAAACAGTCCCAGGGTCGGCGGGGGCTGGACACAGAGGGTGAAGGAGAGGGAGAGGGCGGAAGGGAGTGACCCCGGCTGGGAGGCCCGTTGGGCTGCCCGCAAAATCAGGCACCAGAGAATAGGAGCAGGTGTCAGCAAAAGCATACGGGTCGAGCACATCCACCGCTCACTATGTGCGGGTGCCACACTGAGTGTTCCACTTGCCTGATGCCACCTGCTTGTCACCCCAAGACTAGGAGGGAGGTACCATGACTGAAAGTCCAGTGTACAGATCAGGAACACTCTGTGAGAAGTCAAAACTAGAATGAAAACCTGCCTGCTGTGTCCTCCCAGGATGGGGGTCCCTGGTGCCCAGGCCTCTACTGAGTGTGCATGAGGTCATGGGGTGAAGGAGCCATAGGGCAGGTGGATTGATTCAACCAGGTCAAGGTTACCTATGAGTTAATGAGTAATGAGTGGGACGGGGGCGGTCAGGGGAGACCTGGCTGTGGGTCGTGGAGAGTGTAGCAAGGATCCTGTCTTGAAAGTGGGGGGCCAGGAGTGCAGGGGGCTTCTGGTCATTTCCAGGCCTGGCAGTGCCTGTGTGGGGAAAGGACGGGGCTGCGGCAGGGAGATAACTGCACCCAGACAGGGGTGGGGTGGGAGCGGGGTGCCCAGGCTCCCCACCCAGAAGTCATTTCCACTTCCTCTTCTCTCCTGGTACCCCAGCTAATGTCAGGCAAAGCACAGGGCACCCAGCTAAATTCGAACTTCAGGTAAAAAACAGGTACTCCGTCAGTACAAGCACGCCTCAGACGGCCCACTTACTGTCTGCCCAGGCAGCCTCGCCCTGCCTCCTTCCACGCCCAACCTCTGGGCCAGGTGGGCCTGCTACCTAGAAGTCCCCCCACAAGCCACCTCCCCTACCCCCGCACCTCTGGTTTATCTTGCTCACCACCCCCCTCCCAAATTTCACACACAAAAGTCAAGAAGCACCTCTGCTCTCACCTCTGTCCCTCCCACTGGGTGTC